CCCAGACTGGAGTGCAGTGGCACTCCCGGCCATCGCAGCCTCGACTGCTGGGCTCCTGGCGATCGTTCTGCTCAGCATTCCAAGGAGCTGGAACTACAGGTGCACGCTACCATGCCCAGCTAGTTTTTGATTTATTGTAGAGATGAGGTCTCGCCAAGTTGCCCAGGCAGGTCTCTAAAATAAAAAATTTAATGGTGAAAAAAAATTCTCTTTAAAAAAATTCAAAGTAATATATTTCAGTTACTATTTCTATATCATCATCTTTATATAGTATCAAATAATGCTATAACTAAAGTGACTTCATACACTTCCCTTAATCAGCTTTTCTCTCTAGAGATTTGTCACCTCTATTTTTACTTTTACATTTCATACTTTTAAAATATGTGTGTTCTGCTCTACATACCATAATTATATCTTCTATAATTTTCTTATAGATGAATTCTAAAATTTGAAGAGCAATAACTATATTAAAACATCATTTATGAATATTAAAAGGATTCTGGGACTGCATTCATTAAAAGTTAAGTCTAGACTTCAATTTCAGAAATATTAGGAATATTTTTTAGATAGTGAGATTGATAAATGTTGGAAGAGTCAGTATTATCAATACCCTAGTGTCTGCTTTGGATGTAATCTATACTGCAGAACTGGGCTTGACCAGGTCCCCATGTTTCCTTAGCTTTCTTATGCAAGTGTATAGAACAAACATTAGTTAGACTCTGGGCAAGCAGACTAATCTCCTGCTTACAGTTCTACAAGTTTGTCCACAGTCTTTGAGAACTTCCTTTACCTCAGCTGAAAAGTGAAGCGAATAATGTTTACCTCATGAAGCAAGGAGTATCAAGATAGTGGCTATGAAAGCATTTTGTAAATGATGAAATGTCTGACAGATGTTATATACTAGGTCATATCATAGTAGAATAGATTTTATCTCCAGGGGTCATAAGATATGGTGGATAAAATTCGGGAACTGGTATTTAGGTCCTGGATTGGTTGGGAGTCAGCAGACCTCGGTTTTTTGTCTTGATCTTTCACGTAAGCGATGAAGCATTTTTAATTTATGGACTTGTGCTTCTTTCCATATAATGAGTCTGTTGATTGGCTTTCTTCTGTCCCCTACAAGGGGGGATTTGAAATAGAGACTCATGTTTTGCCTCCATTCTGCACTGTGATTCCATTGATATTGTCACCTGACTTCCACGTACAGTTGGCAGGGATTATCATAGGTTTTTCCATCTGTACCATACACTGGGGTAAAGATGATGTCACAGTGTCTGCATATACTTGTGTTGTGGTTGTTATGTGTCTCACAATTCATATGAAAGAAGAAAGAGTGTCTTCATGTACACAGACTATAGACTGTAGTGATTAAATGCCTGGCCTCAACCGGGCTCGGTGGCTCAGCCTGTAATCCTGTGCTTTGGGAGGCTGAGACAAGTGGATTGCCTGAGCCCGTGGGTTCAAGACCCGCCTGGGCAACTCGGCGAGACCTCACCTCAACAGTAAATCAAAAATTAGCCGGGCATGGTAGCGCATGCCTGTGATTCCAGCTACTTGGAAGGCTGAGGCGGAAGGATTGCCGGAGCCCAGCAGGTCGAGGCTG